TCGCGTTATCGCTCGCTGTGGGTAATGGTGATGGGTCGCCCGTGCCCCCCCTCCCCTGCCCCGACCTTGGATTTGTTGAAGGGGGAAGCGCGGCCACTTTCGAAATTGAAGGTTACGTGGTGTCCGTGGCTCAGGATCATGCCAGTTGCTGACGCGAGTTGATCCGCCCGCCTCGGCGATCTCGAGGTGGGCGGAGCCCGCCGAAAGTTTGCAGGTCCTTGAAACAGGATCGCCAAGATGGCGGGTCAGCTGTTTAGTGCATGTGCACCGTGGCCTGGGTTCCCGATATCGCTGAAGAAAGGGCGTTTCAATTTTAACTTTAGGGGGGTCATGGGCGGGGGATGGCAGCTGGCAGGTTTTGTTTTTCGGGGCCGGTGCGCTCGCGCTGTGGCGGGGGAGGTCGCGAATCTGGGGATGAACATCTCAGCGCGCCCCATGTTCTCGGTGGCGCCCGACGAGGTTCGCGACGGCAAGGGGGGGTGCCCAGAACGTTCCATCGAAGCGCCTTCTGCTGGCTGACAGAAAAGGTCGCTGGACTAAGTGCTCGGGGGGGGGGGCGCCCCACATGAAACATTCTTGGGGGGGGGGGGGGGGGGGGGGGGGGCGCGGGGCAGGCCGAGCTGTTCTTCCTGGGCCAGCAGCCGAGCATCGCGCATGGCAGCGACGTGGTAGGATGGGGCCCAAGGAGGTCCATCAGCTTCGCGTCCTGGGGGCAGAGGCCTTGGGCGCGCGATGTCCAGGGGCTTCCATCGACCTCGCCTGAGCTGCGGAGGCCCGCGATGGCCCGTGGGGCCACGCTGGGGGCACCGTCGGCAGATGCGCTCGTGAATGGTGGGAGGCCATGGGCCCTCGGCTTCGTGCGTCCGACGGTCTGTGTGCTGGTGCCCCTACTAAGGCTCTTCCCGCGTGCCTCGAGGCGCCGATCAAGTCCGCGCCCAGTCTCGGATGGCGTTGACGAGACATTCGCCCGATGTTAGATCATTACTGTGTGGTGCTGAGGCGGGCTGGGCCTCTGTCAACCAAGCGCAGATTAAGTCGGCTCCGACATCCCCGTCTGCCTGACGAGCTCCCCACCAGCGCTGGTAAAATGGGTACCCAATCGTGATTTTTCGAATGAAGTAGCTTGCTGCCAGCCTCAACGAGCTGATCCAGGACTGGGACCATCCGGGGGCGACCGAAGTGCAGGCCTTTGGACCCAATCCTTGAGCAACAAGCTTAAGTTGAAATCTATGAATGCGGAGAGCAAGAAGGTTATCAGGAACATTTTGCCGTGCTTACGCAACCGTGGTCTCGCTCCGCCAGTGGGGGTGCGAGATCTCCCCGTACTGGAAGTTGCATCGTGCCGTAGATTCGCTCTGGCACCGTACTTGGACTTGCCTCCGCGGATGCATGGCGAGGCGCGAGCGCGACCAGGACCCCCTGCAGGGGGCCATCGCCGCAGGAGAAGCTGACCCGCTGTTCAACTCGCTGTGGGCTCCAGTGCCCGAGCTGGGGCTGCGGCCCCGATGGCAGACACTGTGCGCTACTTTGACCAGGCCGGGGCCGCGGGCCCGTTCATGTTCGGACACGATGTGAAGATTGTATCAGGTGGCTCACTCCCGGGCCCCGGGACAGACACGTGGGTCAGAGGAAGCTGGGCAGGGCAGCGATTGAAGTAGATAGCGCCGGCAACCTTCTCCGAGAAGCAATGGGGTCCATTCCCAGGGGCTCTTACCAATAAGCAGTGCATGCAGAACAACGCGGACTCATGCGCGCCGTGGATCACCAGGACAAAAACTTCCGATGGAAATGGATGCCGACGTGAATGTGTGTTGATGATGGTGCTGCTCGCAGATATGGCTCCAGGGATCCTGTGACGGCCTCGCTAGGCAAGACGCCCAGGCGGGCCAATGGCGCAGGATCAAAACGGTGTCCCCGAGAACCTAGAACATTCGCAACATTAAAGCACATCTGGATGGGGACGACGATTCAGCCGTCCAGCCCAGGTGGCAGACCAGGGGGTAAACTGGGCCGACATTGGCGGTCAAGAGGCTGTGGGGTCCCATGATGTTGCCACCGTCGCCGATCTGTTTAAAATGTGACTTTTTGCGTTTGGTTTTGCCGCCACAGAGTCTTCGCGGAGCGGCCCCCAAGCCGAGATATGTTTGGCAAATGAGGCAACTTTCCCAGCGCCCGCCCAGACCCCATTGCTTATCTGGGACATGCCCACAAGTTTGGATGGTCGGGTTACTGCTTGCAGTGCGTCGACTGCGCGAGGACTTGTCGGACGGCGAACGCAGCCGAGAGTCCGGCGTGCGGACCGTTGGCCCCCTCCCTTCATTCCCTCGTCTACCCCGGTTCACCCCCTTCCCCGCCCAGCTCATTCCGTGTGGCCAGGGTGCCGGCCACGGGCCGGGGCGTGTTCTCTTGCATCGGGTGCGGCAGTTATACCAGTGGCCGACATCCACGAGAACGAACGGACTTAAGGCTGCAGAGATGTCAAGAAGAAACAGGTGCAAATGCTCAAGGATTGTCGTCTCCCGTGGCCCCGTGGTCCGCTCGGCAGGATTTCGCCATCCTGGACCCTTGGGGCCCAAGCGTCGGATGGCAGGGGGGTCCTCTTTAAGGACGAACATCCGCACCGCTGAGGAGGTCCGTGTTGGGTGGAGACCCAGTTGAGCTTGCATTGTTTTTTGTTATTGTTTTTGCCGCTGGTCCATAGGGCCGGGGGGGCACACTGCGAGTCGGGTTCCGGTTTGGATCCCATCTTTGTGGTTGTGCGTCTTTATCCGAGGCCCCCCATGAGCAGCCCGCCTGCTTCGCTCTGTGAGTATTGCGTGGTATCATGGCCTAGTCAAAATGATGAAGATGATGATGGTGGTGGTTGTGATGATGATGGTGCGGTTGACGACGATTATGCTGGTGATGGTGATGAATATGGTCAAGGTTCTGGTGATGTCGGCTTTGCTGCTGATGGCGATGCGTACGATTACGTGGACAACGACGATGGTAATGATGATGATATTTGACATAATGACGGTGATGCTGATGATGACGATGGCGATGATGATAAGAACGGTCACGATAACGATGCCGATGAATGTGGTAAAAGTGATACATGGGAATGATGATGGCGATGTTGCTAATGACGATGCTACTGAGGAGCATGAGGCTGATGAGGATGATGGTAATGATGGTAATGAACGGTGTCAACAACCACAGCGCCGATGGTGATGACAATGAAGCTGGCGATGATGATGCTGATGATGATGGCGCCGATGATGATGATGATGCTGATGCTGATGATGATGACGATGATGCTGCTGATGATGATGCTGATGCTGATGCTGCTGGTGATGATGATGATGATGATGATGGCGATGCTGCTTCTGATGATGCTGATGACGAGGATGATGCTAATGATGATGACGATGGCGAAGATGCTGCTGCTGCTGACGACGCTGATGATGCTGCTGATGCTGATGACGCCCATGATGATGGTGTTGACGACGCCAATTACGACGATGACGACCATGCTTATGATGATCATGACGAGGCTGATGGCTGCGGAGGGGTAGGATGAGGATGAGAGGGAGTGGTGATGATAATGCGGACGAGTTTGACGATGATGGTGGCGATTGCGATGCTGATGATGATGTTGATGGTGGTGATGATGATGATGATGATACTGATGATGATGATGATGATGATGGTGATGGTGATGGTGATGGTGATGATGATGATGATGATGATGATGATGCTGAAGAAGATGTAGATGAAGATGCTGATGATGATTATGATGATGATGATGATGATGATGCTGATGATGATGATGATGATGTTCATGATGATGATGATGATGATGATGATGATGATGATGATGATGATGATGATGATGATGATGATGACGATGATCATGATGTCCATTATGAACTCACGCGATCCGCAACGAGGTGGAGGGCTACAAGAGCACGTTGGACTCCTTACGCCACGACTCGGCGGATGACAAGAAGAGTATGAAAGACCTCGGCTCCCCAGCGCCCAGCCTGGGCCTAGCGGCCATGAAGGGACCAAGTGCGACGTCACCCAGAAAACTTTCGAGCAGAAGGCGCAGCAACACATCATCATGGCGTGACACCAGTGGGTTGGCTCGAGGACGAATATGGACACTGGCTGGAGACTCTGGACGGCGGCCTCTGACTCTCGTGCGGCCGGCGGGGGGGCCGCTCACGGGAACGCTTCATCACGCGCGCCCGTCCAGACCGTCGTCGTCTTCACCTTCTCCCATTCGTGCAGTGCTGCCGCTGCTCGGCATGACAAGCTCTGCAGTTGATTCCGGAATGCCGCCGCTGCTCGGCACGGGAAGCTTACCGCATGATCTGGTACCGCCGCTGCTCGGCACGGATCGTCTTCCGAGCGATTCTGGGGTGCCGCCGCTGCTCGGCATGGGCAATTTTGCCACATGACTCGGAATCGCCGCTGCTCGGCATGGGGTCTGGTACGGTGAGGCCAGCGCCTGACCCCCAGTATTCCCTCCCTCCTCGACGAGGCCAGTTTCGCCGCAGATGAGGAAGCAGCATAGTTTCTGCAACTGTAACCCAGCACTCTCTCTTTGGCTGTCCGCTCCCCTGTGTCAACACCTATCGAGCGTCGCCCCATGCGGGGTCTCACGGGAAATTGTCCTCCGCGACGGGCCATTTGATCTTGTCGTTCAGGCGATCTCACGATGTTTTCTACCTTAGCCATGACGTCGAGGAATCATCATCATCATCATCATCATCATCATCATCATCATCATCATCATCATCATCATCATCATCATCATCATCATCATCATCACTATCATTATCATCATCATCATCATCATCATCATCATCATCATCATCATCATCATCGTCAGCATCAGCAGCAGCAGCATCAGCAGCATCAGCAGCATCATCATCATGGCCCTCTTCCGCGCCCCCGCTGGGAAGCCCAGCAGTGGGAGGACAAAGCATGCGTCGCGGCCGCGGCCTTCGCAGGTCTCGGAGCTCATCGATAACACCGAGCTGAAGTGCCAGGAAGCCCGTGCCCTCGCGCCTCGCTCTCTCGCGCTCTCGCGCTCTCGCTCTCGCTCTCGCTCTCGCTCTCGCTCCTTCGCTCTCGCTCTCGTGTGTGTGTGTGTGTGCGTGTGTGTGTGTGTGTGTGTGTGTGTGTGTGTGTGTGTGTGCGTGTGTGTGTGTGTGTGTGTGTGTGTGTGTGTGTGTGTGTGTGTGTGTGTGCAGGGGCAACGTTAAAAGGATGGACTCAGGAAGGGATGCACAGTCATCCAATCGCCCATGATCGCCGATAATGGCCCCATAACCTACCCTGCCCAGAAAATGTGCGGAGTCGATGTTGTGGGCCTATCGCCGATCTGTAGGCGTTGTCTATCCGATTCCAGGTCGATGTTACCACCCCCCCTCCTTCGTCTCACAGCTCCCATCCTTGGAGGGGTACTCCTTGCTGGATGGGCGACGCAGGCCACGGCAACCCCAGCCGCTCCAGAACCCTGGCCTGCTAGCACGCTGGCCAGGACGACGGTGCCGCCTCTGGGATCGACCGGCGCGCGCCCGAAGAGGGGGGGGGCTACATTTAGGTCGGGCTTGTCCACCTACAGGCGGATTTTGGACGAAAGGTTACAATTATTCATAAGATACCCGGAAGTGGTCAAAAATAGGAACAAAAATCGTCCCCGGACTATTTTTTTTTGGACTATTTCAGAGTCTTCTTCCTGCAGGGGGGCACGCCCGACTTGAGGCTACAGCTTCAGCGCTGGATGGCACGCCCTGTGTAGGGTGCTCGCGCGCAGGCACAGCCGCGGCCGGCCCAGCCCAGGAGACCCGCACCGGCACGCCGTCCCGGAGTGCAGCGGCTTCCCAGCAGACCTCTCGGGTGCTCGAGATTATTTCTGGGATGATCCTGGCATAGCTCGGACGTGTGCGTTTTTTCCTCGGCGAGGACCATCGAGGAGTATCCTCGACCATTTGGCGAACAAAACACGCACGAAACCGAACAAGAACACAGGAAATGGACGTCCGAGCGATGGCCAGTGATGTGGTCCTTGAGTACGACGGGAGCAGCATAGCCCTGGGGACTCCTCGTCGCCACGGCTGGGCTTCCCCTGAGACTCTGCTCAGGACCCGCCCCTACAGTCGGGGCGCTGAAGAAGGAACCCTCTTCGTTGGGGAGGGGCTCGGTGTTCCTTGATTGTTTCAAAGTTTGCCTCGGGTTTTCCTTAGGTTTCCCATGGGAAATCGACGTTGAGCTTACGGGAAAAAGGGGCCTCGTTCCTTATATTTAGGGTTCCTTAGGTCAACGCCTCGACTGTGGACAGGTCCAGGTCCAGAGGCGTCCCCCCGGCCCCCGCACGCCGGGGGGGTCGCCGCCGGCTCGAAGCTGCAGGCCCTGGAGTCGGGCGTGCCCCCCTCTGCAGGAGGAAGAGTCAAAAATGGTCGAGAAATAGTCGGGGGAGGACTTTTGGAGCATTCTTTGACTACCTTTGATCGGAGGTTGATAGACCTCCTACCCTGACACGTCGATTAGTGCATTGGCCGTTTTCGGTTCGCGAGAGGGCGTCGCGGCCGTTATTTTTGCGGGTCCAGGTCCGTCGGTTTCGGTCCCAGGCTGTTTTCACTAAAGGGAGGTTTACTAAAGGGAGGTTTGTCCACCGCCGATTTGAGCATGTTGGGGGCATTTTTCGTTTTTCCTGCAAAATCCGCCTGTAGGGGGACATGCCCCACCCACAGCAAGGCCGGCAGGCCTGGCGCGGAACGGCAACGACATCCAGCGGTGGGCCAGCGATTTGGGCTTCGACATCGACTGGAGCCAGGTTCGTCATGGCGTCAACACTGCAGAGCGGATTTCGTTCGGAAAACATTCAGGGTGGGCCCGGAGTGTCCTGGAGAATTTTGTTCCGGATTTTGAAGCGAATTTCGTGCGGTTTTTGGGCTAGGAATGAGACCAAGCAAACAAATCCACGTGAAATTCACTCCGTTTTTCGCTCGCCGTTTCGGGACTTTGCGCTGACAGAAATCCGCTCAAAAATCCGCTGCAGCACGTCTGCAAGGTCGGCGCAGTGAAGGTTCGCACCGACTGGCACAATTGACAGACAGACATCGAAGAAGAAAAAACCACACAAACATGAGCTTTTTGGTGCTCCGCGCGGATTTCTTGGAGCCGCGCCTGGGGCCCCGCGGCGCCGCGCGCCAGGGAGGGGGTCCAGCGCGGATCCAAGACATCCGCGCGGAGCGCCAAAAGTTTATGTTTATGTGGTTTTTTCTGCTCCTAAGACAGGCCAGGCCAAGGGTCCCAGCAAGGGTCCCAGTAAGCGCCCCCCGGCAGGGCCAGTCATCCTGGCCCAGGCGGCGGACGACCTCGGACTCCCGGCCCTCCCGGTAAGCCCGAGCCCGCCAGCCTTAAGTCGGGCCTGTCACTCTACAGGAGGGATATTCGAAAATAGTCAGCAAAATTGTCAGGGGACGATCTCCCTACTATTTTGGATTATTTTTGGGCATTTTTTTTTTTTTTGTTTTTTTTTTTTTTTAGAAAAAGCAAAAAATCGTCCAAACTCCGCCTGTAGGGGGACATGCCCGACCTAACGCCAGCCCCTTCAGTCGCTGGCCCTGTTTTCGCGTTCTTTCCGTGCAGTTGCACCGCTAGGCCACGCAGGAAAGATATCAGCTTAAATCGAAGAAAAACGGCATAAACATAAACTTTTGGCGCTCCGCGCTGATTTCTTGGATCCGCGCTGGACCCCCCTGGCGGCGCCTCCGGCGCCGCCCCTGGCGCGCTCCGCGCGCCAGGGAGGGAAGTTCGGCGCGGATCCAAGGCATCCGCGCGGAGCGCCAAAAATTTATGTATACATATAACGGCGCACCGGGTCCGGGGGCCCGGGGCCGAGACCTCGACCACAAATGTGGGCCCCGGGGGGCCCGGAGGCTCGTCGGACCGCCGGACGCCGTCCAAGATCGTTCGCAGGCGGCTTCGGAACGCGCTCCGATGGCTCCAGATGCCTTCCAAGACGCCTGTCATGACACCAAGAAGGTCCCAGAAGCCTCCAAGACGCTCCGAGAGGCAGCCCAAGAGAGGCCCAAGAAGCAAAAATCGTGCCATTCCTATGGGAAAACGTATATTTTTCGCATGTTCGCCTCTTGGGCTTTCACCGCGTCCAAGACGGCCCAAGAGGCGCCCAAGACGGTCTACGAGGCCTCCGGGAGCGCTCCAAGGCTGCGCACGAGTGGCCCAGGACGGCCCCAAGACGGCCGAAGAGAGCCCCAAGACGAGTTCGAGAGGGGTCCCAGACGGAGAAAGCCAACCTCGAATTCCGAGCTTCCGGCCCAAGAGGCTCCAGGAGGCGCCAAAATGCCGCCAAGAGGCGCCAAAAGGCTCCCAAAAGCACCCCAAGACGTTCCGAGAGGCACCCCAAGAGAGGTCCAAGAAACAAAAATCGTGCCATTCCTATGGGAAAACGTATATTTTTCGCATGTTCGCATCTTGGGCTTTCACCGCGTCCAAGACGGCCCAAGAGGCCTCCAAGACGGCCTAGGAGGCCTCCGGGAGCGCTCCAAGGCTGCGCACGAGTGGCTCAGGACGGCCTCAAGACGGCCCAAGAGAACCCCAAGACGACTTCGAGAGGGGTCCCAGAAGGAGAAAGCCACTCTCGAATTCCGAGCTTCCGGCCCAACATATCCCAGGAGGCGCCAAAACGCCGCCCAGAGGCGCCAAAAGGCTTCCAAAATCAGCCCAAGACGTTCCGAGAGGCACCCCAAGAGAGGTCCAAGAAACAAAAATCGTGCCATTCCTATGGGAAAACGTATATTTTTCGCATGTTCGCATCTTGGGTTTTCACCGCGTCCAAGACGGCCCAAGAGGCCTCCAAGACCGCCCCAAGACGGCCCAAGAAGCTTCCAAGAGGGCCCCAGGACAGCCCAAGAGGGCCCCAAGACGGCCCAAGAGGCGCCCAAGATGGCCCAAGAGGGCCCCAAGACGGGCCCAAGAGGGGGCCCAGAGGGGGACCACGAACCGCAAGCTCGAGCCTTCCGCCCCAAGAGGCCGCCAGGAGGCCCCAAGGAGGCTCCTCAAGAGGCCCCAGGAGACCCCCAAGAGGCCCAAAGGAGGCCCCGAGAAGCCCCAAATCGGCTCCCAAAATGCTTCGAACCTGCTTCCAGGAGGCCCCCGACAGGTTCAGAGGCTCCCGAGAAGCTACGTCAAACTCCCAGCGAGCGGCCGGACGAGGCCCCCCACAAAATCACAAGAGGGTTCCAGTATTTGAAAGAGCGTGTTCTACCGCTGCTGGCGGAAAACCGGGGGGGGGGGGGTCACTACCGGTTCGAACCCCTCCCCCCCCCCCCCCAGTTCATCATGAAAAGGGGGGGGGTCACTACCGGTTCGAACCCCCCCCCCCCTCGAAAACCGAGTGGGGGTGCGGACAGTGGTGGGGACGGTGTTGGTGGGGACAGTGGTGAGGGGACAGCGGGACAGTGGTGGGGACAGTGGGGGGACAGTGGGACAGTGGTGGGGACGGTAGTGGTGGGGACAGTGGTGGGGACAATGGTGGGAACAGGGGGGACAGTGGACAGTGGTGGGAACGGTGGTGGTGGGGACAGTGGTGTGGGGACAGTGGGAATGAGGTGGAAACACTGGGACAGTGGAGGGTACAATGGTGGTGGAGACACTGGTAAAGGCGGTGGCGAGGACGGCGGTGGGACAATGGGACAGAGGTACAGTGGGGACAGTGGTGGGGACAGTGGGGACAGTGGTGGAAACAGTGGGACAGCTCAGTGGGACAGCGGAGGAGTCAGTGGGACAGTGGGGACAATGGGGATAGGCAGTGGTTGGGTCCGTGGAGACAGTGGGGAGAGTGGAACCGTGGTGGGAACAGTTGTGGGAACAGTGGGGACAGTGCGACAGTGGTGGGGGCATTGGTGGGGACAATAGGGACGGTGGTGGAACCAGTGGGGACAGTGGTGGTGAGGACAGTGGTGCTGGGAACAACAGTGGGGGATGTGATGCGAGCGGTGGTAGGGACCGGGAGTCGTTTGCTGGCGGTGCGTGGGGGGGGGGGTCGAACCGGTAGTGACCCCCTCCGGTTTTCGAGGGGGGGGGGGGGGGGGTTTCAACCGGTAGTGACCCCCCCGGTTTTCCGGATCCGGAGGGGGGGGGGGGGGAGGGGTTCGAAACCGGTAGTGACCCCCCTCGGCTTTCGAGGGGGAGGGGGGAGGGGGGGGGGGGTAGGGGAGGGGGGGGGGGGGAGGGTTTTTTCGGAGGGGGGGGGGGGGAGACCCCCGGGTTCTGGAGGAAAAGGTTGGCAATTTTCCACAGTAAAGCGGCGGTGGATCACGCTCTCTCTCCAGTATTCGTATCCTTCAGCGCTCTCTGGCCTTCTTCCCCCTGCCCCCTTCCCTGCGACTTTCGTTGACTCAAGCTCGCCTCCTAGCTAGAACCTAAGCGCGCGCGAAGCGCGCGCGTGGTTCTAGTTTATATGTGTTTTTTCTTCGTCTAGGAAAGATGTCGGCGTAAACGACTGCCTGGGAGACCCAGCGTTCCTGAAACGTTCTGCGAGCTGCGGCTATCCATCCAGCCTTCTCCCTGGTGGCCGCGGCTTGTTGCCGCCCTGTGACTGTTGTATAGCTCGGTGGCGAGCGAGGGGGGGGAGTGAGAAGGAGAAGGCCTTCTCAGAAGGCTCGGAAGTTCCCAGGCATTCCGAGAAGTTTTCTAAGCCTTCCCCGAAGACAGTGACAACTTCTCGGAAGGCCGGAGGGCTTCTGAGACCTCCCGCCGCCTTCTGAGAAGACCTTCTCCTCATCACTCCACTTCTCCGCTCGCCGCCAAATAGCTGCACTCGGGAGTCATCCGGTTCCGAGGCCCTCATTCCATCTGTTGTTCATGGGGCCAGTGCTTGGGAGGTTCTTGCTGGCGCTTGGGAAGAGGCATATTGAATGTGCTTGCGCGCGCGCTTGGGGAGTGGTTGGGGGTAGCCAGGGGGGGGTGGTACTTCTGAGAAACTGCGAAGGTTAAGTGCTTCACCTGGTGGTGCTGTGCCCGCTTGTTTCGACCTGGCTCGTTTCTCCCGAGTTTCCGCCCCTTCCTCTCGCGTCCTGGGCCCCCAGGAGCCATCCCGCTCCCGGTGGTGCGTGACGTCCTGCATGCTCCCCGCGCCGCTCTCTTGCTACATCCTGGCACGTGCACTGCATCTCGCATTGCATGCTGTTCCCGCGCACGCGCACCAGATCCCTGAGGCCACGGCCCGGACGGCGTCCGCAGCGGTGGTCGTATCTAGGGGAACAAAAGTGGCATAAACATAAAAATTCGGAGGTCCGCGCGGATTTCTCGGATCGGCGCTGGACCCCCCTCCCTGGCGCGCGGAGCGCGCCGGGGGCGGCGCCGGAGGCGCCGCCTGGGGGCCCCAGCGCCGATCCGAGAAACCCGCGCGGACCTCCGAGTTTTTCTGTTTATGCCACTTTTTGTTTCCCTAGTATCGTATCGCATCCTGGCACGTGACACGGCTTCCGTCTGGCCTCCGCCGCCCGGCACCCCCGCTGCGCGGCGGCGCCCGGGCTGCCCCGCCGCCGCCCCTGGCAGCAGCTGCCAGGGAGCGCAAAGCTGCCGAAGAGTTCCGTAGAAGCTGCCACAAGGCTCTTTAGAAGCTGCCGAGGGGCGCCTCAGAAGCTGACGAGGAGCGCCTCAGAAGCTGCCGGGGAGCGCCTGAGAAGCTGCCAAGGAGCGCGTTAGAAACTGCCAGCGAGCGCTTGCGAAGCTGCCGCGGAGCGCCGTGGAAGCTGCCAAGGAGCGCACTTAGAAACTGGATGCTGTTAAGGAGAGCTGTAGAAATTGCCAAGGAGCGCCGGAGAAGCTGCCGAGGAACGCCTCAGAAGCTGCCAAGGAGCGCTTTAGAAGCTGCCAAGGAGCGCCGTGGAAGCTGCCGAGGAGCGCCCTAGAAGCTGCCAGGGAGCGCTTTAGAAGCTGCCAAGGAGCGCCTTAGAAGCTGCCAAGGAGCGCCTTGGAAGATGTCACGGAGGGCCTCAGAAGATGCCAGCGAGCGCCTGGGAAGCTGCCAAGGAGCGCCGTAGAAGCTGCCAAGGAGCTTCTGGAACAGTTTTGAAGCGTCTAAAGCATGTGAGCTTTCAGAAGCTACAGCCGGGGAATAGATTAGTTCACGGGTCGGGGTAAATGTGTTTGACAGCGTTTTGGCCCAAGGTGTCCCCAGCTTGGCGCGCCATTTTGGAGTCCCTGAGGCTTTTAGAGCCTTTCGGAGGCCACCAGCGCGGCTCGTTTTTGTTCACGATGCGAGCGGGTTTGGGCCCCTCCTTTCTGACTTTCCCTTGTTCCTGCCAGGAGTACCTGATGTCGTTCAACCAGCACGTCGACCTGTGGAGGGGCTCTTTGGACAAGGCGTTCGAGGCCTTCCTGGGGAAGGACCCCCCTGGCAATGCTGGCCGCCCGCCCGCCGCGCACCGCAGGCAGCGCTGGGGGCGGGAGGGGCAGGATATATGAGGGAGAGAAAATAGAACGAGGAACAAGAAGAGGGAAAGAGGGGAGGAGGGGGATAGGAAACAAGCGGAAAGAGAGGGGTGATGAGGCGGGTACGGGGCCCGCGAAAAGGCGACATTAATAACGTCGGTGCCAGGGGAGTGCAGTACCCATATGGCAGGCACTCTACGTAGGTGAAGGAAGACGGCAATGAGGTTCATCCTCCTCCTCCTCCTCTTTCTCTTCCTCCTCCCTTTATGTGCGCCATTCGCCCATTGCTCCCTCCTCGGCCTCGGCATCCTTCTCCGCTTCGTCCTCCTCTTCCTCCTTCCATCCATTCCGTCTCTCCTTTTATAGTTAAGGCGCCCCATCTCCATCATTGCCAAGCATCTTCCCCCATCCCTGTTCGTTCTTCGACCCGGACCACCCTCCATCGCGCTTTTTATTCCTCGCTCTTCGTTCCTGGCCGTCTTTCTCCTCCGTCGTCCTCTGTCCTCCGCTCTCCCCCCATACCCTTTGTTCCTCGCTTCCCCCTCCGCCTGGCTTCTGATTTTCCTTCCTCTCCCCTCCCTTTCTCCTCTGCGTCCCTCCTCTCTCCTCCCTCCTCGCTCCTTCCTCATTCCCTTCCTCCCTCCTTCTCCTACCTTCCGCCTCCCTCATCTCCACCACCTCCTTCCTCCTCCCTTCTCCCCCCTCCCTGCTCAACCCTTCCTCCCTCACTCCTCCTTCTCTGGAAACCCGTCCTCCCGAAACGTCCAACACACTCCCCAACGCGCTGGGGATTTGTTGACAATTGCAAAACTATTCTCCTCCCCCTCCCCTTCCTCCTCCTTCCTCTCCTTCCGTTCGTCATCGTCGCGTTCTTGGTCGTGGTTGTGGTGGTGGCCGTCGTGGTCGTGGTCCCTTGTTGCCACCGCCGTCATCGTTGTCGGTCGTCGGTCGTCAGTCGTCGGTTGTCGGTCGTCGGTCGTCGGTCGTCATTCGTCGGTCGTCCGTCGTCTTCCGTCGTCGTCGTCGTCGTCGTCGTCGTCGTCGCCGTCCTCGTCCTCCCTCCCTCATCCCCACCTTCATCCCCCTTCCCATCCCTCCCTTCCTCCCCCTCCCTCCAGTCCCTCCCCCTTCCTCCCCTCCCTTCCCCTTCCTCCTCTTCCTCCGCTTCTTCCTCCTCCTCCTCCTCCTCTATCTTCTCCCCCTCCGTTTCCTCCTCCACCTCCTCATCTCGCAAGTTGGGCGATAAAGCACCTCGAAGGAATTGCAGAAGAAGGGACCACCTCCTCCTCATCTCCTCCTCCTATTGCCCTCCGTCTCCAAAAGGCCACGTTGGCCTTTTGTAAGCCGTTCGGAAACCACCCACAGCCCCCCGACAGCCTCCCCCCCCCGAAGGGGCTGCCGTGGCCGCCGCGCGCTCTCGAGGTCGCCCCGCCAGGCAGCTCCCGAGGGGGCGCCGCCCGACATGCTCCCCCCCGGCGGGCCGCCTCGAGGAGCCTCCCCCGCCTCCGAGAGAGGGCCTCCGAGAGCCTCCGAGGACCCGCGGGAGCTCGTGGAGGTCGTCGGCGAGGAGGGCATGGGCTTCCGGGAGATCATGGAGACCACCCTCCCTCGCCGTCGCGGGCCCCCCGGGCCCCCGGGGGGGGGGGACGGGTGCCAATTTCTGCCCGCTCTTCCTCCTCCTCCTCCTACTTTTGGCACTCCTCGGTCAGGGGTGTACCGCTGTTGCGTTTTTCCTCCTCCGCGTTTTTCCTCCTCTGGCTCCTCCTCCTCCTCCTCCTCCTCCACATTCTCCTCCTTTCTCTTGCCCTGGTCCGACATTGCCTGGTGAAGACGCTGCGTCTGCTTCGTCCTCCATCTCCTCCTCCTTCTCTTCCTCGCTCCTGCTAGTTCCTCCTCGCTCCTCCTGGCTCCTCCTGACCCTCCCTGTCTCCCCCCTCCCCCGCCTCTGGGAGATCATGGGCGCCGCCCCCCTCGCCGACGCGGGCTCCCCCTGGGGGGATCAGCGTCCTTCTGCCTATCCCTCTTTCGGTGCTATCGAGATCCTTGACTGATCTCTTCTATACGATCCGGCGCCTTTCGGCGTGACGACGGCTTTCGTGTACAGTAATTAATCTCCACGAGTGGCTCTGCCTCATCGACAGGGTGCTCCACATCAGCGTGCGCGCGTGCGATCGAGATCGTGACGAGGACCCAGGCGTGATGCCAGGTCTCCTCTTGTCTCCGTGTGGCCGTCCCAGGGCTTGCGGGAGATCATGGAGACCGCCGCCCAGCCGACGCGAGGTCCCCCGTGGCGGTGGGCGTTCCCCTGCCAGCCCGTGCTGCTCTCGGTTCGGTTTCCGAGGCTCTCTTTCCAGCAGCTGCGCCTCACCGAGAGGCGCAGCTGCTGGAAGAGAGCTTCGAACATCGCCGCGAGGGCCTGCGACAGATCGTGCGAATGCCATATCGCTCTCCGTCGGCTCGGGACTCTGGGACGAAGCCCGAGGCGGTCAGCCTCGGGATGCCTTCCAGCAGCTGCGCCTCACCGAGAGGCGCAGCCGCTGGCAGAGAGCTTCGAACATCGCCGCGAGGGCCTGCGACAGATCGTGCGAGTGCCATATCGCTCTCCGTCGGCTCGGGACCCTAAGACGAAGCCCGAGGCGGTCGGCCTCGGGATGCCTTCCGGCAGCTGCGCCTCACCGAGAGGCGCAGCCGCTGGAAGAGAGAGTTTCGAACATCGCCGCGAGGGCCTGCGACAGATCGTGCGAGTGCCATTCGCTCTCCGTCGGCTCGGGACCCTAAGACGAAGCCCGAGGCGGTCCGCCTCGGGATGCCTTCCAGCAGCTGCGCCTCACCGAGAGGCGTCCGGGGGTTGCCCGGGGTCGTCCCGAGCGGCCGCCCGAGGTCCGACCCGTGGCCCCTGAAAACACATAGCCCCCCCCCCCCCATTCATCGGGGGCAGAAAAGAGGGGGGTGATGACTAGGGGGGGGTGGATATCATGGCGTGGGCCATGATATTTCCCCAGAGATCATGGCGCCTCTTCTTGTTTCATTACGTCCCTGGCCCCCCAGCTGGGCCGCGCACATGCCGCCGGTCATGATTTGCACCCCCCCCTCTTGGACACCCCCCTCTTGGCCGCTCCCGAATTCAGGAGGGGGAAAAACACACACAGACAGAATTCATCGACGATCCCCAGGGAAATATATGGAAAATTGCCCCAGTGCGACCCTACCTAGAAGTTGGAGCCCCTAGGAAAGCAGCATTCGTTGCTATGCTGTGCTATGCTATGCTATGCCATGCTATGCTGCGCTATGCCATGCTATGCTATGCTATGCTATGCTATGCTATGCTATGCTATGCTGCGCTATGCTATACTATGCTATGCTATGCTATGCTATGCCATGCTAAACTATGCTACGTCATGCTGCGCTGTGCTATGCTAGGCTATGCTAGTCTATGCTATGCTATGCAATGTTAAGCTGCGCGATGCTATGCTATGCTATGCTATGCTATGCTATGCTATGCTATGCTGCGCTATACTATGCTATGACATGCTATGCTTGGCAATGTTATGTTATGCTATGCTATGCTATTGCAGCGCTGCGCTATGCTAAGCTAAGCTAAGCTAAGCTAACTCTCTAGGCAGAGCCTAGGTAGGGAATTACACCCATGATACGCTATGCTATGCTATGCTGCGCTATGCTATGCTATGCTATGCAATGCTAAACTATGCTATGTCATGCTGCGCTGTGCAAAGCTAAGCTATGCTATGCTATGCTATGCTATGCTAAGCTGCGCTATGCTATGCTATGCTCTGCTATGCTATGCTATACTGTGCTATGCTATGCTGCGCTGTGCTATGCTGTGCTGTGCTATGCTGCGCTATGCTATGCTATGCTATGCTATGCTGCGCTATGCTATGCTATGCTGTGCTATGCTGGGCTTTGCTATGATATGCTGTGCTGCGCTGTGCTGTGCTACGCTCTGCTATGCTATGCTGTGCTCTGCTATGCTAAATCTCGGCGAAACTAAGATGAAGGTAAGCTAAGCTAAGATAAACCTGAGTTAAGATGAAGCTAAGCTAAGCTAAACTAAGATGAAATAAGCTAAACTAAGATGAGATAAGCACCGCTAAGCTAAGGGAACGTCACTGGGGGAACCGCGGGGCGGATCCTGGGGGAACCGCCCGGGGCGGGTTCCACTGCCCGGCCCCTTTAAGCAAACACAGTAAGAACCCTTCTAGGCAGAGCCTAGGTAGGGAAATATGGGAAGGGGGGTGGAAGACAGAAACCCAGAACATATGGGGAAAAATGCGGGGAATCGTTCTATTTGTGTGTATTTGTTTGTGTGTCCTGGGGCCCCTTCAAAAACATGTAGCCCCCCCCCCCCATGGGCAACGTCAAGGATGGATCTGCCCAGGGGGGGGACGTGTTGACCCCCCGTCGCCCATGCACCGCCGCTAGGGGGCTTACCAGCTCACCCCGCCCAGGAGCGGACTCGCTCTCGGGGGCATCGCGGATCCATCGGCGATCGATCGCCGATGTTCCAGCTCGAGGCTCCCCCCGTTGAGCCCGTCCCCTCCCAGCGCTTTCCCTCTTGCCCCGTCTTTCTCTCGGTGCGATCGAGGTCGTGATGAGGACCAAGGCGTGATGCCAGGTCCTCCCTTGCCTCCGTGTGGCCAGCTCCCTTGCTTCCCCCCCCTTCCTTCGTTCCCTCCTGCCTCCCCCTTCTACTGAAGCCCAATTTGCTTCGGTCGTGCCCCTTCGATCGTCTTAGCCGACCGCCTGCTGGGTGGCCAGCTTCAGGAAGTGTCTCACCGTCTGATCATTGACGGATGGGGATGATCTCTCGCTCTCTGAGGAAGCCAGCGGAGGGTCCGCAGAGACCGGCTTAAGAGAAACGAAAGCGAGCTTGCCCTCGGAAAGGTGCAGCAGGCGCGTCAGATAAGAATTCGGCCTGCCAGCGGGTGCCCCAAGGAAATCTTTTGTCCCCCGATGTTCCCAGGGACCCACAGAAGCTCTGGGAATTGTTGACGCTTCGCGTATCCCCACCAGCCCATCCAGAAACGATGCTCAGGGGAGTTGAGGTGATCAGGGAAGTCGGGGAGCATGCAGAATAACAAAGGGCGGGGGAAGCTGTCACAGACCCCGAGAGGGGGAGGATGGAAGAGGAGTCGTCGTCGTCGTCGTCGTCGTCGGAGGAGGAGGAGGAGGAGGAGGAGGGGGAAGAGGAGGAGGAGGAGGAGGAGGAGGAGGACGGAGAAGGAGGAAGAATCGGAGGAGGAGGAGGAGGAGGGGAAGGAGCTTCTTGGGGGTCTTTTGAGGGCCTCTTGGAGGGCTTTTTGGGCGCCTTGGGGCATCTTGGGCGCCTCTTGGGACCCTCTTGAGGCGCTCTGGGGAGCCTTCGGGGCGCTTTTGGGGCCATCTTGGAGGGAGTCGATCAAACAAGAGGGGGGGTTTAATTAGCGCCCCCCCTCGGAAGCCCCTAAAATCGCCTCTTGGACCCCTCTTGGAACGCTCTTGGAGTGCTCTTGGGCGCTCTTGGGGCCGTCTTGGGGCTCTTTTGGGGCTCTCTTGGGGCCCTCTTGGGCCATCTTGGAGCCATCTCCAGGCCTCGGATGGCCATCGGAAGCGAAAAGGCGAGAAAGCAAAAATCATTGATTTTCCTTAGGTTTTGGGACGATTTTGGCCTCTTCGGGGCCTCCTTGGGGAGCTGTTTGGCCACTTGGAGTTATCTTGGGGCCGTCTTTGGGCTTCTTGGAACCATCTTAGGAGCCATCGTGAGCGATCTTGCGCTATCTTGAGCCATCTTGGAGCTCATCTTGGGTTCTCTGAGGCGCTCTTGGAGCCGTCTTGGGCCATCTTGGACGCTCTAACTACCCGCGGCCCCCCCCGTCCAGGTCCAGGGGAGGGGGTAGGGGGAGGGGTAAACCCCTCCCCAAGGGGGAAGAGGGAGGGGTGGAAGAGGATCTGCTCTAGACCACCTACGCCCAGAGGGCTGGTGGGATTCTCAGGACCTTGAAACATCGACGAAGAATGCACCCCAAGGTTTTTTTGCAGCACGATTTTGGATCTTATGTGTGGACTGTAGCTGGGGTCAGCCGTTCTTCTCTTTTGAGCCCTGGCCAGTTCCCCTGCAGTTTCTCCAGTTCTGGCGACCTCGTCCCAATTGCTCCGAGCTCGCTTCTGCCCCTGCCAACTCTTCCAACCCTGGCCGCTTCCACTTTCATGGCATTTTGGCTTTCGCTTTTCCAGTTTTGCTGAAACCTTCGGAGGGCTGCTTGTAGATGGCCATGATGATGGTGATGATGAGGATGATGCTGATGGTGATGATGACGTTGCTGATTATGATGCTGCTGATGATGATGCTGATGATGATGAGGATGATGATGAAGGTTACAATGATGATCAGGTTGATGGTGATGGTGAGTATGATGATAATGCTGACGGCGACGATAACGATGACGATGACGATGACGATGACAATGACGATGACGACGATGATGATGATGATGATGATGATGATGATGATGATGATGATGATGGCGGATGTGGTCATGATGATGATGAGGATGCCGACGAGTACAAATACGAATATTTGGACGACACCGAAGACAATGCTGCTGATGCTATTGCTGCTGCTGATAGCAACGACTACACCGACGACAACGACGATTAATGATGATGATGCTGATGACGATGACGACGATGATGGTGATGATGATGATGATGATGATGACGATGATGATGATGATGATGATGATGATGATGATGATGATGATGATGATGATGATGATATGTTGATGGCGACGATGACGATGACGTCGATAATCACGATGATGAGGGTGGTGATGATGATAAAGAAGAAGGAGATGATGATGATGATGCCGATGATGATTAGGATGATGGTGATTATGATGATGTGGATGATGATGATGTTGATGATGATGATGATGATGATGATGATGACGATGCTGATGGTGCTGATGACGAGGTTGATGATGATTATGATGATGATGGTTGTGATGATGCTGCTGACGATGACGATGACGATGATGATGATACTGATGATTATGATGATGGTGATGTTGTTGTGGATGATGATGATGATGATGATGATGATGATGATGATGATGATGATGATGATGATGATGCGGCTGTTGCTGCTGCTGATGATGACGATGATGATGATGATGGTGCTGATGATGTTGATGATAATGATGCTGACTATGCTGGTGATGCTGATGATGAGGCTGACGATGATGATGTTGATGCTGCTGATGATGCTGATGATGGTGAAGATGCCGATGACGATGCTGCTGATGATGATGATGATGATGCTGGTGATGATGATGATGATGATGGCGATGCTGATGATGCGGATGATCATACTGATGATGTTGATGGTGATGATGTTGAGGATGATCCTGATGCTGATGCTGCTGCTGCGGATGATGGTGCTGATGTTGATGGTGTCGCTGCTGCTGTTTCTGATGATGATGATGCTGATGATGATGATGCTGATGTTGATGATGAACTCAATGATTATGATGATGACGATGCTAGTGACGATGAAGACGATGAAGACGATGATGACGATGATGTTGATGGTTATTCTGATGCTGATGATGCTCATGATGATGATGATGCCGCTGACGGTGATGATGTTGAGGATGATGCTGTTGCTGCTGCTGATGATGATGATGATAATGATGATATGGTGATGCTGATGTTGCGTCTGCTATTGCTGCTGTTGTTGATGATGCTGATGACGTTGATGCTGGTGATGACGATGATGCTGCTGCTGGAAATGACGATGATGCTGATGTTGATGCTGATGCTGCTGATGCGGCTGTTTCTTCTGATGGTGATAATGAGGATTAGATGCTGCTGTTGCTTCTGCTGATGATGCTGATGATGATTATGATGGTGGTGATGTTGATGATGATGATGATGGTGGTGATGATGATGATGATGCTGCTGCTTTTGTTGATGATGAACATGATGATGATGATGATGATGATGATGATGATGGTGATGATGGCGATGATGATGATGATGAGGATGATGAGGACGATGATGATGCTGATGATGCTGATGATGCGGATGATGAGTGATGTCGCTGACGGTGATGATGCTGAGGATGATGTTGTTGCTGCTGATAATGATGATGCTGCTGCTGCTAATGATGATGATGATGCTGATGATGATGATGATGATGATGATAATACTGGTGATGCTGATGTTGCGTCTGCTATTGCTGCTGTTGTTGATGATGTTGATGACATTGATGCTGATGATGACGATGATGCTGCTGCTGGAAATGACGATGATGCTGATGTTGATGCTGATGCTGCTGATGCGGCTGTTTCTGCTGATGATGATCATGATGCTGCTGCTGATGATGATGTTGATGATGATGATGTTGTTGATGATGATACTGCTGCTGATGCTGATGATGCTGATGCTGGTGATGCTGATGATGATGCTGATGCTGATGCTGCTGATGATGATGATGATGATGATGATGATGAGGTTGATGCTGATTATGATGGTGATGATGGTGATGATGATGCTGTTGGTGGTGATGATGATGATGATGATGATGATGATGATGATGGTGGTGGTGGTGGTGGTGGTGATGTTTGTGGTGGCGTTGGTGAGGATTAGGGCTGCGTATCGCGGGGCGGCGCCGCGCGGCGTCCGTCTGTCAGAGGAGCGGGTTGCCATCGACATCGGGCCTCCCATCCCGTCGCTGGATGCGTTCGACCAGGAGGGCCCGTTTTCTCCTCGGATCGTCTTCCTCCTATTTTTTTTCCTTCTCCTCGTCGTCTTGCTCCTCCTCCTCCTCCTTATCGAGCAGGTCCGACACATGTTACATAGGCGCACAATGTAGTACATCAACCCAGCAGCAGTTGAAGGCGTAGCTGTTTTTCCTCGTTTGCAGATTTTCGGCTTCTGGGTATTCTCGACGGGCGGACGGCCATTCAAGGCTCACCACTGCCACCACACCCTCCTCCCTCTCCTCACCCGGCCATTCTCCCCATCCATCTCCCCTCCCGCTCCTCGCTCCCTTCCCCTTCCCGCAGTCATTCCTCTTCCTTCTCCTCCTCCTCCTCCTCCTCCTCCTCCTCCTCCTCCTCCTCCTCCCCCCTCGAGTGGGAGCACCCCGAGACGTGGCCCTTTTCTTAGTTCCCTTGCGAGTCTGCGAGGGGTGCCCTTCTCATTATCGGGGTGGCCTCGCCCTGGCTTGTTTTCGTTCAGAGTGCTGCCGGGAGTCTTGCTGGCGCCTGCAAGCCCTGTGTCTTTGTGTCCTCCTTCTCCCCTCATCGTCCCTCCTACCCCTCCCTCCCTTCCCCTCTTCCTCAGGACTCAGGACTCTGAGAAACTGGTCGTGCAAGCACAAAGCCTGTTAATGGGGTTTAATATAGCCTGATATTGTGGAACACACTTACGAGGCAAACGGGACCACCTTCCCAAACTTGAGTTGGGTGCCAGGCACCTCTATCTTCCGAAGCATTCTTAACGCGGAAGTGGGGAGGCGACGGGCAGTACAAGGACTAGGCAGCTTCGTGTCTCTGCCAATGCTGAAACCAGCGCAGATCGTGCAATACACAAAGGGCATCCTGCTACCCTCCACCCAGGAAATGACAAGGGAGCGGTGCAACGCAGGAGCACTCTTCTCCATGCGTCTCCTCCTACTCTCCTCCTCTCTCGTCTCCTCGTCTCTCTCCTCTCCATTCGTCCATCTTCCCTCGCCTCCCCTCTCTTCTTGTCCCCTCCTCCCTCCCCTCCCCTCCCCTCCCCTCCCCTCCCCTCTCCTCTCCTCTCCTCTCCTCTCCTCTCCTCTGCTCCCATCTCCTGCTGTCCTACTCTGATCTGTCCTCCCCTCCAACCTCCTTCTGCTCTTCGTTCCCTCCCTCCCTACCTCCCTTCCTCCTCCATATTCCCCTTCCTCCTCCCCCCTCCTTCCTCCCTCCCTCCCTCCCTCCCTCTCCGCCTCCTCCCTCCTCCTCCTCCTCCTCTCCTCCTCTCTTCCTCTCCCTCTTCCTCCTCCTCCTCCTCCTCCTCCTCCTCCTCCACCCTCCTCTCTCCTCCCTCCTCCTCCCTCTCTGCTGTCTCTCGTTCCACTTCCCCTCCTCCCTCTTCCCCTTCTTTTTTCCTCTCCAGCTTCTGCTGTTGCTGCTGCTGCTGCTCCTCCCCCTCTTGCCTCGCACGCCAGCGCTGGCGCCTCCCGCCCCCTCTCGCCGGACGCCGCCAGCAGGGGTCGTGGGAGGAGGAGGAAGAGGAGGAGGAGGAGGAGCAGGAGGAGGAGGAGGAGGAGGAGGAGGAGGAGGATGATTAGGAGGAGGATGAGGCAGATGAGGAGGAGGAGGAGGAGGAGGAGGAGGAGGAGGAGGAGGAGGGGTAGGAGGAGGAAGAGGAGGAGGAGGAGGAGGAGGAGGAGGAGGCGGAGGCGGATGCGGAGGCGGAGTCGGAGGCGGATGTGGAGGCGAAAAAAGAGTCGGCTGATGATTGATTAGGTGGATGTGTGATGGAGGAGGGATTGATGAGGAGAGGTGGAGGAGGAGGAGGAGGAGGAGGAGGAGGAGGAGGAGGAGGAGCCGGACGAGGGATTCTCAGGGACGAGCAGGAGGAGGAGGAGGAGAAGTAGGAGGAGGAGGAGGAGGAGGATTGGGAGGGGGGGAGGAGGAGGAAGAGGAGGAAAGGTGAGGAGGGATGAGGTGGTGTTATGATGATGACGATGACGACGATGATGATGATGATGATTGATTTATTTTTTGTTTTTTTGATTGTTTGATTATTGATGATGATGCTAACCATGATGATGACGACAACGACGACGATGATAATGATGTTGCTGATGATGATGGTGGTGATGGTGATGGTGAGTGTGATGGTAATGGTGATGATGATGATGTTGATGGTGATGATGATCTTGCTGCTGCTGATAACGACGGCGGTGATGTTGATGGCGATGATGATGCTGCTTATGATGATGACGACGACGGTATTGAAGGTGATAGTGATGATGCTGCTGATGCATATGATGATGATTCTGATTATGATGATGATTCAGATGATGCTGATGATGATGCTTATGCTGATGATGACGATGCTGTTGATAATAGTGCTGTTGATTCTGATGATGATGCTGATGATGATGATGATGATGATGATGCTAGTGATTATGATGCTGATGCTGATTATGATGATGATGGTGTCGCTGCTGTTGCTGATGATGGGGATGCTGCTGCTGATGCTGATGCTGAGGATGATGATGATGATGATGATGATGATGATGATGACGATGTTAATGATGCTGCTACTGCTGATGCTGATGATGATGATGCTAACGATGATGCTAAGGATGCTGATGCTGATGCTGCTGATGATGATGATGATGATGGCGATGATGACGATGATGCTGATGAGGATGCTGATGATGCTGATGATGCTGATGCTGATACTAATGACGATGACGATGTTGCTTAATCTGATGACGATGACGATGATGCTGCTGACGATGCTGCTGCTGATGATGATGATGCTGATGCTGATTATGATGCTGCTGCTGATGATGACGATGACGCTGAGGACGATGACGATGCTGATTATGATGATTATGTCACTGCTGCTGGTGATGATGTTGACGCTGATGCTGATGATGCTGCTGATGAGGATGATGAGGATGACGATGCTGATGATGATGCTGATGTTGATGATGATGCTGATCATGATGCTGATGCTGCTGATGATGCTGATGATGCTGATATAGATGGTCATGATGCTGATGACGCTGATGATGATGATGAAGCTGATGATGATGATGATGATGATGATGATGATGATGATGATGCTGATGATGATGAGGATGATGATGCTGATGATGATGACGATGATACTGTTTCTGATGATGCTGATGATGTGGACGCTGGTTGTGGTGGTAGTGGTGATGCTGTTGTTAGTGTAACTGTTGTTTTTCGATATTGATGATGATGATGATGATGATGTTGCTGTTGAGGCTGCTGCTGCTGCTACTGCTGCTGCTGCTGTTGCTGCTGATGATGATGATGATGATGATGATGATGATGATGACCATATTGATGATAAGAAGGAGGTTGAAGAGGAGGAGGAGGAGGAGGAGGAGGAGGAGGGGCTCAGCAGGAGTGGGAGGAGGAGGAGGAGGAGGAGGAGGAGGAGGAGGAGGAGGAGGAGGAGAAGGAATAGCTAGCTTGCTCTCGGCTGTGGGACGATGAATCGAAAGACTGCTACGCTCGTATACATTGCGTGTGTTTTTACAGGCTGCATGCACGTAAACGAGGGACCGAGCGGGCCGAGGGGCCGAGCGAGGGGGACCGACAAAACAGAGGAGGCGAGCGACGGGCAGAAGGCCGCGACCGACGACGGGCGAGGAGGGAGGCGAGGAGGAGCGGGGTCTATGGATTCGTGCGCCCGCCGTCCGCACCCAGGTGCGAAACACCTGCCAGGTGCGCGAGGCCGCACCGCCGTAGCTCTATGGCCACGGCGCGGTGCCCGCGCCCTCCAAACCCGAGCTAGAGCCAGGTCTCGAAGAGGACATCGTCCTCCGCCTCTGCCCACAGCACGGGCAAGCCAGCGAATCTGTCCAATCCTAACCCTTCAGCGCGCCGATCCATGCCGAGATCTCGCCCTCCAGATAGCCATTCGGAGCCGCTCCCGCCGTCGTCACCGCTCTTATCGATCTGGGCCTCCATCACCTGCACCTCGAGATCCACTCGATCCAGTGCGAAGACCACCTTCAGTGTGTCGGTCTGCTTGCAACTCTCCAGGCGGCACAGGCGCACGAAGGTGGGGGGCCCTCCTGCATCTCGGCCAGCAGCGCCGTCATCACGTCTTTGAGCCTCTTGCCGACCTCCTTCGAGCGCGCCTCGATCATGGTGCAGCACACGGCGGGCGCGGGTGGGCCGAGGTTCTTCAGCTGCTGCATCATTTTCTCCGCCTCTGTGTCTGCTTCCCTGGACGCGGCCGCGTCCGTGTCCTTTGCTGCTTTGGCCTTTTCCTTTAGCTTGCTGGCCTCCGCGCGCATGTTGTTGGACACCTGGCCTGCATCGCCTTAACCACAGGCGGCTTCTTCACCAACAGCGCCGTTCTCGTAGTGATCCCCCACATCGCCCTGGACCGCTGCGCCAGCTGCGACACGAGCATCGGGAGGTGGAGAAGGAGCTCCTTGAGGCCCGCGTCCTTGACCACCAGCTTCCGCTCCTTGGCCTCCGCGCGGCGTCGTCCGCCTCGCCGCGTCCTTGGCTTCACCGCGGAGCCCTCCTCTCCCGCTGCCCCTCTGGCCAGGCGCACTCCCTGGCCGTCCTTCTGGCTCTTGCGGCTGTTGTCCTCCTCGCCGTCTGGCCTGGACCGTGCTCCACCGCTCCGTGAGCTGCGGGCGCCAGCGGCCGAGCTTCTCGGCCTCCATGATTGCCAGTGCCCCCTGCCGCCGCCGCCGACGAGGTGTGTGTGTGTCGTAGCACCTGCAGCGGGGACGAACAGACCAGCAGCCGTGTGGATGTCAGAGCCCCCCAGGCGATCAGCACCCAGTGATTGTGACAGGCGGCGCCTTGGGCGGGGCTCTGCAGGTACTGGTCGAGGCTTCACTATCGATATGGAACGCCCCTCCTGCGTCGGCGGCAGGTGAGAGCAACGATGACTACGGAGTAGCTCGTGCGCAGGAAGCTCCACGCCACATAGTGCACACTCGCGAATGTTCGTGTCTTTGAACTCGTAGGGGTACGCCGTGTT